ACACCTGTCGATGCTACAGGGAAGATCTGTGTCAGTGTCCTTTTCATTGCCAAGGCTCTCAGCAGCCTCAATTCATGTGTCTTTGCGACCCGAGCTGGCACCTTCCAGCTTTCGATTTTGGCGAGCACAAAATGAATGCTGTTGCACGCATTTCGCTTTTCGTCCAAGTCTTGTTCGACTGTACACTTGGTTACCCTGGAGAGGGACCTTTCGGCGACCCAAGTGATTGTATGACCCTTTTTTCTGCCAACCTTGGTTCGTTTCGAACAAATGGTTCATGGAAAACGTGGGATGCAGATGTCTGTTGCCTCCAAGAAACACGCATCGGTCGCGCTAACATTCGATCCACCCAAAACGCTGTGAAAGCACTCGGACAGCGCATTGTCACTAGTGAACCTCTTCCGGTAAAGTGGCACAAATCAGGTTCAATCACCCCGTGTGGAGGCACTGCAATCATTGGTCCGGATTCGGTCATCCAGCCGTTCGAAACATGTCATGATCAAGCTGGTCTTTTTCCATCTTTGATGCGTACACAGAGGTTCAGTGCAGCTTGGGTCCAAGATTCTCCATCATGTAGGATCTTGGTTGTATCCCTCTACGCTTGCACAGGGGCCTCCCAGGACCCGGCACTGCATGCTAAGAATGACCAACTGCTGGCTGATGTGTTTTCCTTTGTTGCCCAATTTGGGCCGATCCCAGTGGTGATCGCAGGGGACCTCCAGGCTGACCCTGCAAGTTATGAATCGGTTGCCAACTGTGTTGCCTTCCATGGATGGTTTGATCCCATTGCTGAAGTTGATAACATGGGCCACACCAGTCGCCCTCTAACCTTCTCCAGGGATGGCACTTTTTCCGGTAGCGAAGATGCCACATCCTCCATTGACGCGGTCTTGATTAACCAGAGTGCATTTTGCGCCCTTCGGTCGGCAGAGGTTGTTCCCGTGATTGGTAAACAGCATCGTCCAATCAAACTTGTTTTCCATTGGCACTCCATCCAACAAATTGGGTACACGTTATTCAAAAGTGCACCCTTTTTGCTTGATACTCTCCAAACCGCCAAATGGACTGATACCAGGTCTTCTGATTGGTCCGCCTTCTCTGCCCGCTTTGACGCTGTTCATGAAAGTGAAGATAAATGGGAAATTATTAACGCTTTTCTTGTTCATTCCTTGAAGTCCACGGGTGCTCAATGGGGGCAAGGCCCTCAAACGAGAGGAACTGAACCGGTTTTTGTTACAAAAACTTTTGCGCTGCTACAAAGAAGTCAACTTCCTTGTACAGGCTTGTTGGTCGATTGCAAGAGTTGTTCTGCCGCCTTTCCCGGGAACCAGGGGGCCCACAAGACCGGTTCGATACCAAACAGACGGCTCTTCGTGCTTTTAAAGGCCTCCAAGGGCACCAGGCTCCAGTGTCTTGGTCCCAACCTACATCTCCGACTCTTGCCGATGTGTTTCTTGCTCGACGATGGGCCGAAGCAGCCGCCTCGTTACTTGATTCACAGATCCGGTTGAAAAGATTGCAGAGCTGGAAAATCAAGATCAAGGAATCCGCCAAGGGTACTTGTCATTTTATCTACAGGCATTTGCGCAATTGTGCCCAGGGTGAACCCCCAAACCTCATCCTTAATGACACAGGCCAGATCATTTATCAACCAGGGCCGGCTTTGGGCCAAATCAATTCCGCTTGGGATAGTGTATATTCGGCCAATGTTCTTTGCGAAGATCCACTCAAGGTCCTTGAGACCATTTGGCCGTGCATTCATAGTAAGGTGCACCAGTGTGAACTCCCTCCCATCAAAGGGCAGCAGCTTTTCGAAACGATCCATCGCCGGAAAAGCCATGCCGCCCCGGGCTTGGACGGATGGAGAACAATAGAACTTCAAGCTCTCCCGGCGCCTTGCTTTCAACCGATCGCTGAGTTCTTCACGTACATTGAAGAGTCGAACCAACCACTACCTAAAAGCCCTTGTGTGTGCCAAGCAGTGCATCCTTAACAAAAAGGGGCCAGCGGATGCTTTAAATAAAAGAATCATTACTGCGCTGCCAGCTCTCCTTCTTGCGTACACTGGGAGTAGGTATAGACAACTGCAACCCTGGTTGATTGCCACTCTTCTCCGGCTATCTTGGGTGGTGTGCAGGACCGGTATATGGCCTCTCTGTATAATGAAGTTCGCTTGGAACTCGATATTGCACAGTGTGATTCTTCCCCAGTGGTAGGTGTTAAGCTTGATAAATCGAAAGCATTCGACAGGATTGCCCCTGTGTATGCAGCCATGCTCATGTTGGCTTTCGGCTTACCGAGGACAATCGTCAATTTCTTTTTAAAGCTTTACGGTGGCCTTCACCGCCATCTTGCGTATCGAAACTGGATGCGCCCGATTGCTACTACGGCTGCCAACGGAGTGGCACAAGGATGCAGCCTGTCGCTCCTCGCCATGAATATGTACAACAAAGTCTGGTACCACCTGTTGGAACACCTGCCAGCGGTGTCAGCAAGAGCCTTTGTAGATGACTCCTATTTATGGTGTAAGTTGATTAACATTCACCAGCTCAACACTGCCATCCAAATCACGAAGCATTGGGACATGTTGGTGGGGCAAAAGTTTAATCCAGCAAATCGGCTTGTGGTCTTCCCACCCTCAAGGTAGGAAAAGCCTTCGTGCCTTGTTCCCGGAATTCCCTACTCGAGTTTGAGGTGCTTGGTGTCAAAATGTACCCCTGTTCACGCAAGGCATTCCATTACGACCTTGGAGTCCACAGACAGATCTTGGCTGACATTGCACGCATTGGTGCCCTGCGTATTCCAACTAGAGTCAAAAACCTTCTCATTGGTGCCAAGGTCATCCCTCGCATCACATTTGGCGCCCACGTCACGCAGATCCCTAAACGGGAATTGACTCAACTCCAAGGTACGGTCATTAAAGCATTATGGAACGGTAAGCCTAAGTGGCGCGCCAAATGGCTCGTTCAAGCCACACATGGTCAGCCTCACCGTACTGATCCTGGCCTCGCATGCGTCAGTCTCTACCATTTGTGAGTTTACTAGATGCTGCCAAAAGTCACCGGCTTTGATTCCCGCCCTTAAGGGTACTCAGAATAGTAGTTTGGTGCATCCACATTCCTTGTGGTCCCGGGTCCAGTTTGCATGTTCGGTGCTTGACATTGAAATAGCGCATGACTTTGGCTTTTCCTTTCGGGGTTCCCAAGCCTTTGATCTCACAAATCTCCAGCCACGTGAGCTTAAGCCGCTGTTGGTCCAGCTCGCCAGACAGGCGGCGTACCAAAATGTGGACCATCGTACCCGTAAGGATTTCTTTCAGCCCCAAGGACAGTTGGATTTCCAAGCTACCACTTGTTTGCTCAAGGAACGGGTGGTCCCATCACGTTCCACCGTCCCACCGGTAGTTTTTGTCACTCCATCGTTGTTGGGTGCGTTCTCACAAATGACAGACTTTCCGCTGCAGGATGGGTTGACTCCTCTCAATGTCGTTTCTGCCACGCAACTAAGGAGAGCATGGCTCACTTGGTGTATGACTGCTCAACACTTCATGCCATGATTGGACAACCAACTCTCCATGAGCTTGGCAAGAATTTTGCCCTCATGGGTATCTTGGAACAACCCTGGTTTTTGGCACGGAGACGACTCCTCTGCACTATACCGCCGAGTATCGGTCCTGCGTTTCAGCCGCATCATTGTGTCGAGTTTTGGACCGATGCTTCAGTCATGTGGGCAAATCGATTTTGGCTTACAATTGCGACGTTTGCAGTCGTTGATGCAGACCTTCAAGTGTGCAAGAAGGGAGTGGTTAATTACCCTTCCTTGTGTTCATATGTTGCTGAATTGTGGGGAGTGCTAATCGCCTGCACGCTGACGCCTTTTCGGGTACACGTTTTCTGTGACAGCAAGACGGTTGTCGAGCATGTTTCCCATGTTTGCCAGCACGGAGAAGCCGACCCTTCCTGGATGTGTCAAGCTTGGTGGAGCTTTCTTGCCACGTTGATAGATGGCAGAAAACAAGTCCATCCGCAACCAGTCAGTGCCTCCTGGATCCCTGCTCATTGCTTTGCACACTTGCCGATCGCTCAGATCACAGACACATTATGGCAGCGAGTAAACAAACTACAGTACGACACATTGAGCGCAACAGGATTGCTGACCTTACAGCCAAGGAGTTTGCCACAACTTTGTCAGCTGTTCAGCCGGAGGTGCAACAACGGGCTGACCAGGCTGCACTAGAACACCAAAAGTGGCCTGTCAAGCTGCATGAGTTACTGCCCACGAATACACCGTCTTCATCGTTTGGCTTGCCAGAGCCTGAACCGGACATTGATCAGCTGCAGTACCAGGCACAATTCCCACAGTGGGACTGGAATGCTTCAGTGTCTTCTTTCAGGTGGAAGCCTAAGATCCCACTATCTTGCCCGTCACCATCCAGTTGGTCAGGCACAGATGAGGAATGGCGTGTGATTTGTGAGTTTTTGCGAGGTTTGCGTTGGAAAGTGCAGGAAGATGCTGTCACCTCTTTGTGTGAACTCACGGCGCTTTTTCATTCACTGGGTTACAAGCTGGGAGACGACAGCTGCACTTCCACGTACCTGGACTATCATAAGAAGATCCGCAGAGCAGTTGTCTTGCTTGGTCGTTCAGATAATTGCAATCATTCCCGGGGACGTTGGCCCCGGCATTGGCCAAAGCTGCCGGCCGCACCATGCCTCAAGGCTCCCTCACTGGAGCGCACGTTTTCGTTGACAATGGTGCTTTGATACATCTGGCACAGATTTTTGAGCTGGGAGCTGGCCGCACACTGGCGTCTTGGGACGTTCCGCTCATTTAGGTCGCGTTTCACTTGCATGTCGAAGGTCCTTCCTTCCTTGGGGCATTTCTTTGTATTCAGGTCTGTGAGCCTAGTACAACACCGGGCTCGTCTCACGAGTCATCCTGGTGCGCGTGGTGATATACATACATAAATATATGTATATACACAGAAGTGAGCTGCCCACAAAGTCAGAATCTCTCCAGTTCTTTGACATGCAGTAGTGCCTCAGTGATCCAATTTGAGCTCTCCTAGGCTCCAGCTGAGAGTATGCGATACGGCGATAATCTGTTTACCGTGTCTTCACTTCTCACCTCAGGGTCCCAACACGTAGGCCACATGTTCAAAGCCTTCTGGCTCCTTGAGAGCAATGATTGTGCTTCCTGGCAAACGCAGCTTCAAAAAGGCTGGATTGCAAAACTTGACAAGAACAATGACATTCTGGATCCTACCAATGATTGATTGGCGTTTCCTTTGCGAACTATTGATAGGACCTCGCATCAAAAGCGCATGACAGAGCAGGATGTCAAATGCCTTTACTTCCAGCCGATTCACAGGTACATACAGGTACACTGCAAAAGAACCGCGAGGCGTGCCCCGTCCTGGGTGGATTGCTCCAATGTGTAGTAGTTGTGCCAGGAGTTGCTGCCCGTCAAGAGCGACTGGTTTCACCTCATTGTCAAGAGGGTCGCACTTCTCATAGATGACCAGCCGTACAGTAACTCCTGCGACTTCGGGAGTCCATTCATCTCGCAAGACTCGAGACAGCCAACGAAGCACCCAGCCAAGGTCTTCCCTACATCTGATGATGAGGACATCAACCAGCGGTCGAAGCACCGGGGAACCTCCAAAGGCAGGGCTTTGAGGTGGGCAAGATATGCCTGACCTACCCTGCAGGCCCTGGAGCGGGTCACAATGAAAGACCTTGCTCCGGGCTTGCAAAGCTTCTTGAAAACGTTCCATGGCAAGACCCAAAGGCTCAAAGGAGTTGAAGTGGCCCACCATTTCATCAGCTGATTCAACATGTCCTACTCGACTGTGCACCTCCCAGGTGTGCTGGAAATACTTAAGAAGGACTGCAGGTGGCACCAGCATTATCATGTATTCTGCAAAAAAGTAGCTGGATAGCAAGACCATGGCAGAGCACTGCAATTCCATCATGTCACCACCGGACATGACATTGTTCTTCACAGTGGTGGGAACTGCCGCAATCAACACAAGAAGCCAAACATCCTCCATGGGTGGTGGCAGGTTCCTTTCTTGGTAAAACTCGGACGCTCGATCCTGAAATCTGGTGCCATCAAAGACCCACGACAGGTGCTGATCTGCTGGAAGGTCTCTGCTGGAAGACTCTGTCCTTAGTCGCTTCGAGTCGCTGAAAAGCTTGATTCGCTCGAAGAGTTGCCGACTTGTTCTTTTGGCCCGCTAGGGAGGGGGTAGGCTGTGGATAGAGGAAGAGGTAGCTATAGTAACTATAGTAGCTATTAAGCTCCTAGCTAGGACGCAGGATAGCTCACGCTCGCACTATATTATGATTTGGCTCCTAGATTCTTAATATTCTTAGGGAAACTTACAGTAACTTGCTCGACGTCCTATAATTTGGACCTCCCCCTACCCTGCACCTGGGATCAAATGTACCTCTGAGATGCCAAGTGTCTTCTCAGCACCACTGGAGTTTGCACTCAGCTCATCTATTCCAGGGATAGGTATGAATATCTTTCCTTCCAGGCCCGAGGATAAAGGGACCCTCATAAATCGAAATCCACACACCAGCCTTCCAGGGCGGTCTGGAATCTCAAAAGTCTTCGGGACACGTCTCCTCACCACATGGTGAGATGGCTCTAATTATTTCATCAACAGTTTTGCGTCCTTGCCTTGGTGTCAACCAAGAGTGATCCCAGACATTCATCTGTGTCTGGCCTGCATCCCACCACTTCTCTTTCTCCTCTTGTAGCGCTCTTCCGCTGCCGAAAAGGGCCAACAGGAAACCCAGGACAAGGAACATCCTCGTCGCTCAGCATGCAGCTAACCCCACGCAGTGTGCTCCATGTGGTCCGAACGGGTCTGAGGCATCGCATTGCTTGACGTGCAATGTGCATGGGTCTGAGTCCTCTGCATGGACGTGAAAAATTACTGTAGATATATCATACCTTATATGCCTCTGCCAGCTACCTAGCAAAAATTGTTCTTTTTGTTACAAAGCCATGTCATTTTCCGTGGCACTCTGCATGTGTCTTTGGCAGATTGGCCTTCAGTCGGGTGGAGCAATAGTTCCCTTTTCAACGCACACAAAAAACAAGGCATGCAAGCCAAGCATTGGCTCAAGGTCATTCCGAGTGCAATCGAATTTAGCGTGACCACGCTGGCACACCCAAATCAGCAATTGTGACTATCCACGTGGAGTTCTGTGAATGTCAATCCTGGAAGTGAGAGCCCACGCTCCAATGGCCTTGGCCCACGTCTATCCTCTTCTTGAAATCTGGCGATTTATTCATTTGTGTACTGAAAGTTTCATCGTCCGGATGAATCTCACATTAAACATATTATATACCTACTCAGATGTCCACTGATCCGGCAAGGTGGACCCCATGCTCAAAGTCCGGCTCCTCGGGCAGCGGATTCCAAACAGTTCTCAGATAAAAGTCTTCAGAGTGCTTTCCCTCTCCTGCCCAAAAGCTTCGCCGTTGCTGCGCCACTAGACGTACCTAAAGGAGCCCTTCTTTACCACGACCGCAAAGACCTAGGGCCTAGGGATTATGACTACCTGGAGTTGCCATGAATGTATCGCCGTGAAGTATGTGTACAATGGAATTGAATGAAGCAAAACGAGCTAACTTGAGATGACATGCGGCGACATGGGAAAGGATTATACAAATATAAATATATATATATATATAAAAGGTACAGGCAAGAACAATGTGATCTGACCCAAACACGTGTGACGGGACAAAAACCGAAACTGGTGGCGCACTGCTGAGGCGATCAGCTCGAAAGGAATGGCAGCAGTCCACAACAGGCTGCGCAGCCTCTGAATCTCACAAAGTGAGAACTACAGTGTAACTATAGGATTTGTATCAAAATCAGGGACCCCTGCAACTTCAGTGGGAGGGTCAAATTTGCTACCACTGGTTGAGGGACCCGGATGGATACCTAAATGCTGCATCATATTGCAATTTCCGTTGCTTCCATATCCAGCCTGTGCACTTTGCACAAAGATGGACAAAGTCACTCATCATCAATTGGGATCAACTAGGTCTCTCTAAAAATCTAGGAACCTAATCATTAGTTGGAGCGCTTCTTCAAGGAAGCTTGAGCTATCCAGCGTCAAGTCGCTAGGAGCAAGTTTCTCCTTTCTCCCTTCCTTAATTAAGTAGAAGCGGAGCGGGCAAAAAAAACAGATCTAATCAAATGATCTAAATACAAAATCCTACTAGTAGCGTCTTGTTCCTAGTAGCGATGCACCTGTTACTACAAAATCCCCGGCCTGAACCGGACCTTGTATGATTTCGACCTGATCAAGAAAACTCTTCAATTCCATTAGGGTGATGAGATCAATTGTCTGCTGCTGTTGCTGTTTGCTTGAAACGAAATTGTTTTGACCTAAATGTCTAACACCTCTGGACTGGGGTATGTAGCATATGTCAACCAGACTTGATGACTTCTGCATGGTGATACTGGCAAGCTTCTTTTGATTTAGAATGGAGCTACCTGCAGGACCTGGAGTGTATAAGTCCTGGCCAATGTTGGTGCAAGTGACCTCGTGGTTGTCGATGACACATTTCTGGCCACCTTGCATGACACATCTCAGGAGACGGGCGTGATAGCAAGGACTCTTGAAGCTGAGCACGGGACAGTGGTTACTGCAGCCAGAACAGAAGGACTGGCAATCGCGTCAGGGAGCTCACTCTGTATCCCAAGAGGTGTGCAACTTCAATTATTGTGTCTAAGTTCCGGGATTGGGGCATCAGTAATCCGCCCACTGTTGAAAGTCCCTCGACGCGACTGCGACGTTGAGGCAGCCTATGTGCCCCACCAGATCCCAAATGGCCTCCAAGTCATGCCATCGTTTCAATAGCTCGGACATGTCCGCTTGCCACTTGGAATATGAAATATTCCTGGGATGACCGGCAAATAGTGCTGACAGAAATCCTTTCCCAGAATTGTGCCAGTTCCTTGTTGTTGTTGTTGTTGTTGTTGTTGTTGTTGTTGTTGTCCTCCCTTCTGTTGGTTTCAACATTCTCGCCTCTTTTGAGCCAAGGATGGCTGCTCGCTGACCCTCATCAATGTCCCACGCACCAGTTTTGCACTTTACCTCGTGGCCCTTCTGTGCTTACAGCGCTTGCAGCACTTAGCGGTCGTCTTTTTGATACGTCTTTGCGCAGAGATCAATGGATGTAGACGAGGCCTGGTATGGGACCTGTCCTTCTCATGCCAACGGTGAAAGCGTTCTAGACATTGGAGGCTGCAAAAGTTACAAATGTCCCGTTGCGAAAATATCCTCTACCAAACCTTCCAGAGAGTACTCTTGAACAACGCAGGCCTCACAATTCAAAAGAGGGCAAAACTAGCCGGAAGTTGTGCTGGTAGCACGGAAAAGTGAACAGAATTGAAAATATGCCTTGAGTGCCCACAGAATGGCAGATCGCATCACACTCGCAGGAGTTAAGCGTTCACATTCCTCAGCTATAAGAAGTCACAGCGGTTTTCCTGTCAACTTCAGGAGATTGGCAAAGGCTGGGATGCTTTGGAAGGTTATTGCCACGGATTACACCAGTTTTGAGTCAAGGGTCGAAAGGTCCGCGCAGCTCTCCTGTCACCATGCAATTTGGCAATATTAGGCAATTGTCGATTGTCGAGCTCTGATGGACCACTGCAGTCCGTCCTTCACACGCTTGACCATGGTCACTTCGCACTCGCGGATCCATTTGCGAGGGTCATAGTAGCCTAACTCAGGAGAATCTCTCATGGTTTGTGACATACTCATGCGGGCCCACAAACCTCGAAGATGCTCAGGCGGCTTGGTATATCATCTGTGTTACCAAAAGAGCTGTTGTTGTGGGTCGTCAACACAACGTCTCTCAACCACCCAGAATTCAAAGCCAATGCATGCCGGGCAGCTCTTGTTCGGCTTGTCCTCACCTTCTGGATTGCCAATCTGACCCTGCAAGTAACCTCAGTGTCCGTCTCCATCACTCCTTGCATTCTATTCCATTCTGAGAAACGCACCCTCCTTGGCCTTGTAGAACTTCAGCAAGCCTTCCCAGTAGGCCCACTGCCTAGCCAAGGCAGCAAACACAAGCCGTCAAGAGATGCTTTCGTATTGAGGTCTTTACGTGTCAGTGTCCACATTCATCTTCACAACGCCAGCATTCAAAGCCTGTCAGTGTAACTACTTCAAAGCAAGGTGCACCATATACTCAAACTGTGTGCAGCTTGAAGCCCGAGACTCCAGCAGTGGCGATGTGGTGCTTCTCAGATCCAGAGCCACCGTGGAAAACAAAGTTCAGTGGCCTGACGTGTGCAATGCGTGCGTGAAGAAGGGTCAACTATGTCCGATCAAATCCGACGAACCCATGGCATGTCGGTGGATGAATGGTTTAATCAATCACTTGCACCTGCCGGCACTAAAGGATCTTCAAACTGTTTAGGTCTGTTTCGATCGTCAGTTTTGCAAGTCTCAGGACTAATGCATCGACCGGCACGTGCACGTTTGCTGTCTTGTGATTGAAAACGTCTTTGCCAGTCAAGTCTTCGACATGTTTTTGGGATTCTGATCATATCCATCTCACATCATCTCATGTGAAGTGAAAATTCCGAATGCCCCCAAGGTCCTACGACTGGACACCGCTGCATTGCCATCAAAACTCCTCTTCCTGTTCTGTTTCCATATTCGTGGACTGTGCTGTGGAAGTTTGTTGTTTCTTCACTACTTCATTGGACGCATCACTATTTGCTGTCCTTTAGCTACTTCACTGGACTCCAGGATTTTTGTTCGTTTGGTGTTTTCTCTTCCTGCTTGCATAGTTCAAGGTGTGGAGCGCCTGCCTTTCAACATGTTGCCACATGTTCTTGGTGTTTTCGGTGTCCACGCGGGTGATTGTTGTTTGGTGTTTCGGCTGCCAGTGTCATGATGCCCCGCTGTGCGGATCAGGCCTCAATTGTTTTCTCTTCCTGCATCGGTTTTGTCGGGTGTTTTCTGTTCCCGTTTGGGTGTTTTACCCTTTTTGTAGGGGTTGCTTGGTAGGCCGTTTGCTGGGCGGAGTCCTCGGTGTTTTTCCTTTTTGGCTTCTGGCTCCTAGAAGGTCGCTTCCAGGGTGGAAGTGTCTTTATGTTCGTTTGTCGGTGTTGTGTGTTTCCTGCAGCGTTCTCTGTTCCCATGTGTCGGTGTGTTCTCTTCCTGCAACAGTAGTTTCACTTCCGGATTACAGGTGTTGGGTTCCTGGAATGCTTCGGGTTCCCGCCGTTCCCGCCGGTGTTTTGTGGTCTGGCTTTGGTGCTTTATGTTCTCGTTTAGAGCGTGGGATCCAGCAAGGAAGTGCAAAGCAGGCATGTGAGCGGGAGCTTTGGATGCGAAGCGCTGCACAAGAGGGATAGCCAAAAGTGCATCTTGTGCAAGTCATGGCAAACACCAATCCACCTCTCGGAACAGAACGGGCAATGCACAACAGACACGGATAGCGCGAAAAGTAGCAATCCGAGACGCCGAAGCACAGCGCTGCTGCATCGATGGTGTTCGAGCATTTTTGTTTCGTGGCGGGGGAGGTGCTAGTGGGGGAGGCACTGCTCCCTCCTCCGAACCCCCTCCAGCTCTTTTTGGGTGGACCCTCTCACCCAAGCTATTTTTAGGCCTACGCCCGCAAGCTGCCGATACCCGTGGCGTCGTTGACTTGAGAGCAGCGGAAATTCGGTGGCAAGCCAGGACCAAGCTCAAAAATGGAGACCGCAACGTCCTGTAGATAACCGGGATCATCTTCTGGGTCACTCCCAAAGCCATGCACATGGTGG